CAGCAGAGAACTGGAATTTCAGAAACAAGAAAATACATAGTTGTGAGAAGCTACCTGGAATCTAATAACCCTCTGAGACAAGGCTAGTTTTACATGAAGAAAAGAAGATACAGTTCAGACCAAGAGAGAAAGTGCCTTGTCTTACATTCCTCATTTTGATGAGGAACCATCTATTTAACATTTCCCGAGCGCGACCAAGGCAGACCATTAATTTTATTGCCTTCTCACAGATCCACAGGAAAATGCTATTCTGCTGCTCACAGAGGAGCTGGATGTGATCCCAGGCCCTGCCATCTGTATGGCGCAGGGGCTCCAAGTCATTACAATCTGCTGTCCGTTTGACATGTGTGAGGAAAAGTGTCGCTTTTCCAAGTTTCCTAAGATCTAGACTGACTCTTGACCAATGTGATCACTTGCTAGCTCACAGGCATGGCTACCATTTTTCAGCTGTCTTAAGTATCTGAAAAAAAAGACAAATGAGTTTAACATCAATGATAGACTGCAATCCTCCTGTACACATCAAATTATGCTGGAGCCTTCCATTTCTTCCTCATATCCAGGCCGACTCTGAGCTATGGACAAATCCTTGCAGGCTCACAGAAGGTGCTGGTTCAGGTTTTTTGTCTTTGTATCCCTGCTTACTTTTTCTATTCTGTGAAAAGCCATGTTAGAAGAGGTGGTACTCAGCCTTTGAAACATTTGATCTCATTAGCTTACTTATGTGGTAATGAAGCATACACAGCAAACTGAGGTTTGTCAGGTTGTTGCAGTTTGTCATTATTCCCTCTTCACAGGCACCATCTCTCTGCTTTACAGCTAAAAGAAGTAAGTAGTTGTGTGTTTTTATAAGTGCTCTTTCCTTGATGATTTAACATGTTTTCCTCTTACCACTTTGTGTTTGACCTCTTGACTACTGTGCACCAAGGTATATGATAAGAATCAGTTCAGTTTTATTAGGGGTTTTTTGGGGGTTGAGGGTTTTTTGTACGTTTGTTGTTGTTGTTGTTTTTTGTTTTGTTTTGTTTTGTTTTGTTTTTAAATGGTTGAACAGGTCTATGCAGCATTCAAGCAGTTTGGGCCAGCCAGTGGTCCTTCTGTGCCAGCCTGGCCAACAGCAGGAGCTCCAGAGTAACCAGTGGGAAACCTAAGCCAGACAAGAGCAACATGTCCCACATATCTAGATGTATAATGATTCAAAGCTTTAGGGAAGACTTTTTTTTTGTCTAATCTGTGATGTATTTACCATTTCTTAGAAGATGTCTGGATATCCTTGATTTCTGTGTCTGAATCTTGTTAGATCTGTGTCCTGAAGGATTCGCCTTTGACCTGTTTTTTTCCACTTGCTATGATGCATTCCTTTATTACGTTTCTTTTGAGATTAAAAGCTTTCTTTGCCCTTGATAATTTTTCTGCAAGGTCCTCTCAGCCTGTTGTATCTTGTATGCAGGAGGTGGTCTGACAAAAAAGGCATTACAGTATTTACTTTATATTCATCACATTGTATCAAACATAATAACACCTTTTTTTTTACAGGGGAAGAAGAAAGGTAAGAATGACTTTTTAACTACAAATATCCTTTATGCTGAAGCCTGGCTAGAGCTATTCTCAGTATTGCAAGCTGTTTGG